ATATATATATATATGCATGCAAGTGCATGTGGAGGCCAGATGTTGATGTTGCATGTCTTTCCTTGCTTGCTTTCCACCTTTATTTTCTGAGACTGTGTCCTTTCATTAAGCCTGAAGCTCATCCATTTGGTTAATGAGGGATCTGATGACTGTCTCTTCCTTCCCACTCTCAAGCCCAAGGTTATATGCATGAGCTGCCATATTAAGCTTTTTTCTGTGGGGTCTGGGCATACAAACTCATGTCTTCCTGCTTGTACAACACATGCTTTATTGACCAAGGCATCTCCTTGGCCCCTTCATTGATTTTTAACTCTCTGGAAGTGAAATCACATTTTTAGGTAGTCATTACTCAAAAACATCCTTTAGATCATTGTTTCCATCATTCAAAATCCTTACATAGAGATAATCATACAGAACAAGAAAGAAAAAGAGGCTAAACAATGACAAAGGACTTCCTTTAGGAAAATTACCTAGAAAATTTTAGATTTGTTTTTATCCCCAAATCAAACCTTAAGTATCAGAGAAGTGACAGAATTAATAGGTTTTACAGTGACACACCTTACTAGGTAATTCCTACCTGGCAACCCTGCTTACATCGGCTGCTGATGACAGGCACACTGACCTGCAGGTTCTCAGGCAGCTCACTCACTGGCTGCTGCAGAAACAAGGCCATGAGGAGAAAATAGAGGGCAGGGACATTTGTGTGCTTAGGAAGGAAAGACTGAAGAACTGGAAACCCAGGAAAGTGGCAAGCATCTCGGTTAAGCTCCCTGAGTGTGGATCTCCCGCCGGCACTCCTGCCCACATTGAATCCTAAGAGAAGAGGAAAGTCAGCAAGAAAATCAGTAACTGGTAACTGTGCTGCACTAATGAAAAAGAGAGTAATTCAGTGGGGGTGGGGAGGGGGTGACACATCTATCTTGAGTATTCTTATAAACCAAGGCAGTAAGATCTTTCAGTCAAGTTTTACTTTACCATATATTAGACTTTAGCAAGTCTGTCCATTAGGATACGGACTGTGAAATACTGGGGGCCAATCAGATACACAAGTGTAAAAATGCTTCTCAAGGCAAAATAAACTCTACTCATAAAAATGACTTTAGGAGAGCTCTAACATTTCTGTTCATATTTCCCAAAGAATTTAATGAAATTAAAAATATAGTCTAATGGAGGATGGTATTGCAATGAAATTTCAAATATACTTTGTAAAATATAGGTAATATATTTCATTTGTCCTGAAAAAAAATCACCAAAAACCTGTCAACTTTAAGTTTTGTATGGCATTAGAGATCAGATCTTCCTCACAACACAACCTGAAATGTATCAGAAAGTGGCCAGGCAGGGGGCTGGCAAACCAAGGCCCATGTAGCTGTGTTCTCCAGAGACTGAGCTGTCACCCACAGTCCTCTGGGACCTCACTGGTGGCCAGTGAGCACTAATGTGGCTAACAGCACGAGCATTTCCACTTGTCTTGTTTATACAGGAGTCCTGAGCTGTACTCAAGTTTCAGGATGCAACCCAAACATGTTCTTTGGCCATCCCTTTCCTAAGAATGTTCATTACAAAGTGAATGTCAGCCACAATTTCAATAGAAACCTCTTGTGAACAGAAGCCAATAGACAAATGACTGATTTCTACTCTAAAGGTATTATTATTATTACTTAAAATGGAGATTCACATTTCTTCATTTTGTTTTTCCTAGGATGAAGAGGGACTATTATTTAACATAATAAAAGAACAATTATGTCTAGGTTGCTTTTAAGTATTTTATCTTCACCAAATTGCTCATTGTGATGAATTAATCATCTGAAGTACATTGTAATTAACAAAATTTGCACAGTAATTTACCAAGCTTTTTCATATCTCATTTCTGAATCACATGAGCATGTGCATTAGATATTGCCATAGATATCTGAGTTGCTTGGGTTTGAATTCTGACACTTTTCAGCTGTGTGACAGAGGACTTCAGTCCCTGGCATTTAATCTGTGAAATATATATGATGCATTCAGACTTTATCTAGTTAAGGAATAAATAAGCAACAAGTTATTATATGGCAAGTGTTCAGTTCTACTGAAGCTGTGCTAGCTATTTTGCTATAGATCAAGAAAGGACATATATTAGAATAAAAGCACCACAAATTCACTGTTTCCAAATCTTAAAACCCTATGCCTGGCTTTATTTTGAATTTGGAAGCTTCTAAACTTTTCTTTTTATTATTGATTATTAATATTTATGGCTCTTAATGGTTGTGAGATAAACTGAAGGGTGCAGGCCTATGGTGAGATTAAAAAACGACACAGCAGCTTATTTTACAGCAGGGAACTACCGAAGTCGCATACCTAACACAGTTCCTATCTTATTAGTTAAGACAGAATCTGTCTGTTCAAGCCATCCTCCGCCACTGAGTCCTTCTTTAAACTTGATGAGAATAGATTGATTACTCAGTAGGACAACAAGAATCCTCATGGCGGCTGTAACTGTGGTAGAATGCAAGTGTTCTTCCATAAACATCATAATCCAGTCAAAACCCAGGGTCCTGACCAGTTCTTCACAAGCTCTGTTCAAACAAAAATGGGATTAAAGAAAAAAAATAGTTTTAAGAATTAGGATTTCAAATTAAAAAGAAAACTATGACTGAGCCCTATTCTTGAAATAGAATCCACTTCAGGGTTAAAACAATTCTACATAAATAAGGGGCAATTCCATCTTGTGCTCGACAAGAATTGACTAGTAAGGGGCCGGGGGTGGTGGTGCATGCCTTTAATCCCAACACTCAGGAGGCAGAGGCAGGGGAGCTCCATGAGTTCAATGTCAGCCTGGTCCACAAAATGAGTTCCAGGCCAGTCAGGACTACATAGTGAGACTCTCAATCAATCAATCAATCAATCAATCAATCAATCAATCAATCAATCAATCAATCAATCAATCAATCAATCAATCAATCAATCAATCAATCAATCAATCAATCAATCAATCAATCAATCAATCAATCAATCAATCAATCAAAAAAATAAAATTGACCATCAATTCTAAAAAGGTTTTACTTACTGCAAGTTAATGCTTGTCTTTTCTTTAGATGTATAAACTAGTTTTAGCAGGATATCTAGAAGTCTGTTCCTCAAAAGTATAAGATTAGCAGATACAAGACCTCCAAACTCTTCTTCACTTCCTAAAAGGAGGATAAATGCATCAGAAATCCCAGCGGATATAGGATAAAATATCTAACACAGCTCCTTGAAAGCTCCCTGAAAACTAATCTTTTAGGAAACATTTTTTCTTTAGAAGTGATTTCCACTATAGCAGATAAGAAAAAGGATCAGCTAAATACTTTCTCTTCAGAACCTCCAAACTTGTTCATTTCTACCCCTGACCTTATCTAGAGTAGTGACAATGAGGACTTCAGTCTTCTTTTACATCAGTCTTTCCCATCTTTCCCATCTTTCCCATCTTCAATGGAGGAAAGCTAGCAGTAAGAACTCTAGGAGCAGGGCTGGAGAGAGGGCTCAGAGGTTAAGAGCAGCTACTGCTCTTCAGATGCCTCAAGTTCAATTCCTACTACCATAATAGGCAGCCAAAAATCACGTGTTTAATTCCAGATCTTGGGGGATCCAACGGCTCCTGCTTTAGCAGGCACTTGCGCACACAGACACAGACACACACACGAACATACACATAATTTTTAAAAATAACTATATGAATAAAAATAATAATCACTACAGAAAATCAATCTCCCAGGCAGGTCCTTAATTTCTTATTTCTTTAAGGATACAGTTCAATTTACTAGTGTGAACTGAAGTTCCTAGAAAAAGCGACACCCATGTTAAAAATTTTATTAGGCTAATTGATTGAAATTTCCTAATTACAGACTTGGAATGTTGCAGATCTAGACCCAAATTATCTTTGGCTATCGGACTATCTTAAGTCCACTCTCTACTTCTGTGTCTGATCAGCTAAAACCTTGTGAAATGTATGAACTGAGCAGACTACTAGCTTTTACCACAAAGCTAAGCATGTCATCAGATCACATTTGAGGCCTACAGTAGTTTTTCTTCTTTGCTTAGCCTGCTACTTGATGTTTCCACCAATGTATTTAAAAAAACTCCTTGAATTATGACTTACTTTTGTTCTGTAACTATAAAACCTTCATGAAGCCATTTCCACATGTTATTTGGGGCAACCTGAACCTCTGTTTCCAGGCTATGGTCACTCCTAACTGGCTCAAACATAAACTTCCTTTTATTCTCTTTGAGATAAGAGCTGTGTTTTATGTTGATATCAGAAAGTTTGAAAATAGGAATAAGTTTATTCAACAAATACAATTCATAACACAAAGTTAGAATTATATAGCACAGAACTGAGGTGAAATTCACACAAACACACAAAAGAAACCGGAAAAAAGGCAGAGGAAGACAGGAGCTCAGAGGTCCTCAGTGGAGCGTCTCAGAAACCCAAGACCAGGACATCAGAAGCCCATAGTGCTGGACTGCTGCACTGTGGAAAAGCCATAGGGTTGACCACTCTTCCATTTGTGCTTCCAGAGGCTGAAGCTCAACTTCATAATGGCTGTCTATCGTACTTGTTTGGGTCACGGACTAACCAAAACCTTTAAATGATCTTTTAAAATGTAAATTTACTGCTTTATTCATTATGATACTTCAAGCTCACCCAGGAACTCAAGATCCTCCCTGCCTGTTAAAAATCACCTGGAAGCCAGGAATGGTATCTGCACATGCCTTTAATCCCAGCAGAGGTAGGTGGATCTCTATGAGATCTACCTGGTCTACATTGCAAGTTCCAGGCCAGCTGGGGCTACAAGGAGCCCTGTTTCATAAAATTAACAAACAGCAACAAAGCACATCAGCCACAGCGCACTAGGAGATCTAAGCTGCGGTAAGAACTACTTTCTTTAACAATACATACAGAAAGTTAGAACTCTCAAAAGTCCTTATAAATTTTTATTTGGTCTTCTATTAATTTTGTCTCCCTTAGTTTTCAAATATAATTTAAACCAATGAACTCCAGAAGGAGTTCACAGGTTAATTCCCCCAGACTGTGCTTTTTCCATACTACACCACTCTATTTCATGCTTTTTATATTATTTACATTCATTAATTATCAGTGTTTGGCATCATTTTATTCAAGTTTTCTCTTTTTGAACATGTCTATCCTGAACACTGTGTGTACTATTTGAAAGAAAAAAACATGATTTGAATTATCTTATCATATTTGATACAACTGTTAGTCCATAGCAATTAAATAATAAGTATCATTCACAGGCTGGAGCAGCAGCATGCTTCTGACTTTACCATGTCAAATGGCAGTAAAGCAACAAGAACTTCAGCCTGATCAGCTTGGCTTTTCTACAGAAATAATGGAAATTTATACATCCTTACTACAGTGTTCACCATTAAGAAGAATTTACAACACTACTGTAGTTACTGAACTGAATGGCTAGCAAAATATGTGGAATCTAGAGGAATATTTTTCCTACAATATTTTTATAACTGAAATAAGAATGTTTTATATTTTCAACAGTCTTTGAAGTATTTTTATTTTCTAATTCATATCTATTCAGCTTCTTTGAATGCAGAACTTAGGAATAATCTTTGCACATGATGGCATAAGTTAAAAGCTTATGTTTGTTGGCTATCTAGGTTTAAATATAGTCACTGTATAATCTTAGGTAATTTCCTTTTACTTATATTTGTCTGGATGGCAGTTTCCTTATAAAATTGATGCAGTAGTTACTATGTTATAGGGCTATGGCAAGAGTAGATAGAATATTTATGTGTTCAATAAATACTGTCCACCTATTTGATCTTAATTCTGTTAATTTTTCTTTTACCGAAGAAATGTCAACATGGGTTCAAATGAACTGATGACAGGTAATTAATCAAAAACTTTATGTTGCGGGCCTATCTTCCCTTAGCATACTCTGTAATCTGTAAAGTTTCAGTCTCTCTAATCTCCTAATCTGTCCTTCAAGTTGTGGTAACTTTCCCTTCTCTTATTCAAGAAGCACAGGAAAGATCCTTACTACAGTAAGAGTTCAGCATATGGTTATAAGAGTTAAAAAAAATCACACAGATATGATTTTGGAATCATATAACAGGGAAATAACATCAGTATGCTGATCCCTCAGTATCAGTGGGGGATTATCTCTACAACTCCTATCAGGTACCAAAATCCACGGATACTGAAGTTCCTTTCCATCATAAAATGGTGACATATTTGTATATAATCTACACAAACTGTCCCTTAAACTTGGAATCATCTTTAGATTATTGCAACACTGAATATATGTAAATACTGTGTAACTAGTTATTTAAGAAACAGTGAGAATATAATGAAGTCTGTATGCCTTGGGGACAATGTAACTTTTTTCATAATAGTTTTAATATGTGGTTGGGTTAAATCCACAGATGCAGAACTCAGGCGGAGGAGGAAGAACTCCTAAGATCTGTTAATGTAATTGGAAGTCCATCTAAAAGGTCCTTTCAATGCTTTCCAGTCAGAATTCTTGACCCAGAATATGTAGCCAAAAATATATTACATGGGGAAAAAAGGCAAAAAAGATGCATTAAATAACTTAAAATATAGCACGTCATGGACTTAGGAACTCACAACCTATGAAATTTTTTTTTTGTTATACTTACATAAAATGACCCCAATAAAAATATCTTTCTCTTAGTGATACTGAATACAGAGAAAAGACTACTTAATAGATAAATGATAGTAACAGTAAGATGGATATGCCACTTTTAAGCTGATAATATGTGTCTAAAGATACATACAAATTTGAAAAATCAGACAATATTTAATTACACTAGAAGAAGCTTAGTATTTAAAGCTTGGTATATAAAACCAGGAAAGATTTTACCTTTAAAGTAAAACTCACATTCTATTAAATTTTGTATTTAACATTACATTTTTGCATAGGGGTTTGATACAAGATAAAGATATCAATGAAAGATAAAAAATATAAAGAGAAAAGTTAGATAATATTTTCACACCAAATGCAGGTATAATTTGCTCTAGAAGAGAGCAAATGATCAGGACCCTTCCAGGGTCAACTTACCAGTTTCAAGTTTTTCTTCATTATTTATTTCCATAACTACAAATTTCTCACAAACCGCAAAAGTTGGCAAAGTAGAAGAAACGAACTGGCCAAACCTTAAATAAAGAGGAAGAAAAAGCTTAGCAGTTTCATTTTTTGCTCCTCCAATGCACAAAGGAGAAATGCGTAAAAAACAAAAGTAACAAAAAATCAATTCACAAAAGCCACAGCATTTCTACTTTATGTTTGTAAACCTTCATGTTTTTGAAGTATAAGAAAAATCTAGCTGTTTAGAAGGACGAGTTCTTTAATGCATGAACTAAATGGTCTAAACAAACTGAACAGCTTAATTGATCAAGTTAAAATGTTCTGACACTATCTGCATGTTCTGATATGTATTAGCATCTACTTGTATCTAATGTAGCCTAGTGATCAAGAACATGGATTCTGGAAATACAGACAAGGTTAAGATACTGATTCACTTTTAACCATGTGACCTGGGCCAAGCAGCATCAGTTCTTTAGACCCTTGTTTCTTCCTTTATAAAGTAAAAGGAAAAGTTAAAGGTTTGATGTTTGTTGGTAATTTCAGCAAAGTGATCATTACAATGCTAGGATAAATTCTAAACAGAAAATGGTGATAATATAACTGGATATTTCCAAAACTATTCTTAAGCTCCAGTTTTGAATGTCACCAAGATACAAACAAACAAACAAGCAAACAAAAACAGCTGGAAAGATGGCTCAGGGGTTAAAAGCACTGGCTGCTCTCGAAGAGGACCCAGGTTAAGTTCCCAGTACCCACATGAAAATCAACTCCAGTTCCAAGGGATCTGATGCTCTCTTTTGGCCTCTGTGGGCATAGAACACATGAGTACACTCACATACATGCAGGTAAAAAAGTCATATATATAAAAAATAAAATAAAATACAAAACTTTCTGCAGAGACTCCATAAATATGCTCTAACCACATTTCCTTTTTTTTAACCTATGGGTTGTTTTTCTTTAGTGTGCGTGCGTGCGTGCGTGTGTGTGTGTGTGTGTGTGTGTGTGTGTGTGTGTGTGACGGAGAGAGACAGAGAGAGGAGCACATGTGTGTTGCATGCACACGTGTGCAGGTATGAATGCCTGTGCATATGTGGAGGCCAGAGAAGGGTGCTTGGTTTCCCACTTTAACACTCTTTGCCTTTTTCCTTTGAAGTAGTGTCTCTTCCTGAACCTGAAGCTCCTGTTTTCAGGCTAGGCTATAGCCAGCAAGGTCGAGATCCAATCTCTGCCCACACATCACTGGGGTTACAGGCACCCATGGGATCAAAGTAGCTTGCTACATGGGTGTTGGGATCTGAACTCAGGTCCTTATACTTGTAGAGCAAGTGCTCTTACTTCTCAGCCATCTCTTCAGTCCCTCTTAACCATATCTGTTTTTTTTTTATGTTTTATTTATTTTTACTTATTTTGTGTGTATGAATATATTGCCTGCATGTGTATAAGTACGACATGGAGGTCGGAAGAACATCAGATTCCCCTGGAACTGGAGTTATGGACAGTTGTAAGCCACCGAGAGAGAGAGAGAGACAGAGAGAGAGGGAGGGAGGGAGAGAGAGAGAGAGAGAGAGAGAGAGAGAGAGAGAGAGAGAGATCCTCTTGAGAATAGGGAGGGCTTGTTCCCTCCCTCCCTCCCTTCTGAGACAGGGTCTCACTATGCAGCTTGCTATGTAGATCAGGCAGGACTCAAACTGGCCTTGATTAAAGGCAAGCACAACCAAGCCTAGTCTCCTACACCTGAACATTTTATATCCCGGCCAACTAATGCCATGGGCTGATTATCATACCTTTTCTTACCAATATTCTATTTCTCCATAATGGCAAGATGCCAAGGCACCGCATGCTTCCCGTGCCTCATTCATATCCTGAATATACATTACAAGTATTACATAAGCAGGAAGCAATTACATTCATCTTGCTCATCTTAACCCCCTGGCGCTTTCAGTTGATTAAAAAGACAAGCAGCCATGTTCAGTACCTGAGTAGATCGTTGCTGTTGGGGAAACCTTGCAGCAGGAAGCTCAGCACATTGCTGATAGCAGCGATGGTTGGCTGGGATAAAGACATATCCCGAAGAGTCAGGAGCAGCTTTGGGATTAACTGGAATTCCCTCATTAATTTGGCATTCTTTGAAGCCTCACTGTAAGAGAAGGAGGATTTACTACACGGAACGACCACGTCTTCTATGACCGAACAGCTAACTACATGAGTATTAACTAGTACCTGGACTCTGTGAGCAGTTCAATGAAGTGTTCAAATAAAGAAAGATGAAGTTCATATGGTGCATGGAGCCAGACCTAGAATAAAAATGAACAACAGTGTATTTAAGGTTAAAAAAAAAGTCTCAAAACTTTAAAACTTCACAAAAAACAATAAAACATAGCACATGGAACTTCATATATATAATTAACTGAACATAGGAGGAAATGAAAGAGCAAAACAACACTATAAACAGACTCAAAATGACAAAAAAATGGAATTATCATGCCTTTAAAATCTACTATAAATGTTCTACATGTTTAAGAATGTCACAAAAAGATGAACATGGGGATTGACAATTTTACAGTATGGGAAGAATGAAGTCAACTAGGATTGTATGTCATGCAAAAGCATCCTTTGAAAAAATGGTAAAAGACTTTCTCAGGTGGGAGAATTCATGGCCAGCAGACCTGTGTACAAGAATGTTAAAAAGAATTTATCGAGGCACAAAATGGAATTCTGGTCTTATGAATAAATAACGTTATAACTATCACATACATAGACAAATAAAAAAAGATTTTTAAAAATGCCTTTTAAAATGATTATTTAAAGCAAATATCATATTGTTGTAATTAAGAACACACAGAAAAAAAATGTACAAAAACAAAGTCACAAGGGTGGGAAAGAAGAAACGATTCATTTCATAGAAAGGTATTTGCGTGGTATAAGTCTTCAAAGAACCCAAATTCTTTTAGATGCACATTAAAGAATCTATCAAAGAAAATGTTTGTATGCTATGATTATTTTATTTATACTTGTAAAATTGTGGTTTCTAAAAATGGGAAGAATTATTTGTAGGTTACTTGTGGTTTAGGGTAATAAAAGATGCTATAGGTAGCTGGGTGTGGTGGTGCATCCTTTTAATCCCAGAACTTGGGAGGTGAGGTAGAGGCAGACGGATCTCTGTGAGTTTGAGGTCAGCTTGGTCTACATATCAAGTTGCAGGCCAGCTGGGGCTACAGAGAGACCCTGTTTCAAAAAAAAAAAAAGATCAAAGAAATGTAGGAACTAGAACTTCTGAATATTAAGGTGAGAAAAGTTTATTATGTAAAGGGAAATCTCAGCAAATCTAAGATACGATATAATTATGCCTTTACAAAAGAATGAGATCACAGACTGCACAGCCTGTGGAAAGGCAGAAAGAAGTGATAGTTCTGCTAGTGGGTAAGGCGAAAGCTGCTTAGGGCTTGACTTAGGATGCAGGAGAGGCGGAAAGGGTAGACTCCACACAGTGAGTGCAATCTACATGATTTTGTGTCAGACTGGTTACAAACAGGAAGAAGGAAGCTTATTTTATAGTTTCAAGCCCAAAGAATGGTGGTGCTATTAATAGAAACTGAAAAGTTAAAAGGAGGAGCTAACTCAGGCAGGGATGTTAAATTCAGTTAAGGTTTTGCTAGAACATAAAAATGGAAAGGTTGAGCAAGAAGTCAGAAATACACCTGGAACTGAGAGGTGAACTCCACAGAGATGGGGCCAAAGGGAGGGAAGAGAGGGGATGGGAAGGAAAATGAACGGGAAAAAGGAGAGAGGGGGGAGGGGAGGGGAGGGGA